TTTTCCTGATATTCGGGCGTCCCGGTACTTTCCGAACACCCTGTATACCAAAAATCTATATAATGTTTGAAATATATTTACACCATACTTACGCTATGAGATATCTCGAAGTATTTTCAAATATTGTCATACATCACTGATCGATAAGAAGTCAAATACTTCCCGTTCTTTGTTTGTGTAATGTTGACAATTGTTTATTTTATACAAGACACCATCGAAACTATGCAAAACTCGACAATAGGGATATTTGATTTTTATATGGTAGTTTAATTAATTATCACTATCGTTGATTGCAAAATTCTAACGATTAATTCGCAGGATTAGATATCCAAATAAATATTGTCAATTGTTACTTCTTTAATTACACTGTTCGACAAATTTTTGTGACACAAATGCGAATAGTCATTTCCAATATATTTTTGCCTGCTAAACACAAATCCATTGTTCAAATTTAACTATCACGTCATAATTTTGTGAAAAATGGCGCCAAAGAGGCCAAAAATGACGATTTCGTGGCGCTGTAGCGCAAACAGTAATTTTTTTTTTTATATTTTATTAATGCCACGCAAAAGTATCAACTTTTAGTTTAAAAGTGCATCTTATCTCGTTTCCCAACGATTTTTTGTTTTCAATATACAGAGTGTCCGATAACTAATCGAACAACCGCCGTGTACGAATAGAACGAGTCAAAATAATCATAAAAGTTATATACCATTTTGAAATTTTCTCAATATTTATTCCGTTAAATTAATTAAATTAATTAAAATATATTAACGAATGAGCTCACGAGAAGCGATAGGACAGGTTCTGTGTGTAAAAGTAATAGCTTACCTCTTAGCAACGATGAGTAAATAACTGATTTCGAGGCGGAGTAACGTATACGTGTCGCTTGTTATTTCTCCTCGAAATCAGCTGTTTATTCATTGTTGCTAAGAGGTAAGTCATTTCTTTTACACATAGAGCCTGTCCTACCGCTCGTGAGCTTATTCGTTTATACATTTTAATTAATTACGGAATAAATATTGAGAAAATTTTAAAATAATATTTAACTTTTATGATTATTTTGATCCGTTCTACTCGTACACGGCAGTTGCTCGATCAGTTACTGGACACCCTGTATAGCCAATCAGAAACAGTTGTCGGCATCAATATCACTGA